TATTGTTTTGATTTGGCACTGCACCACCCCCTTGGTTTGAAGTAGAGGGATCAGAAAGTGGTTCTACCCCTTAATTCGGATTTAGGACTCAGGAATTATGTCCCACAATTGTCCTAGTTTGAAAGTGATTTGCAAGAGGTATAACGGGTTGACATATTCGGCCTACTAACTTATTCATTGTTTCGTTCAAAGTGTTTAGTTGTTTGGCCATGTTGTCATAATGTGCATTCCCATTTTGGGTAAATCTTTCCATATTACGAATACTTCGAAAATTTAACTGTTCAACTATATCTTGTGTGAGTTCTCCAAGTAATGCACGCATGGTTCGAGGACTCAACTCTGTCATTGGTTCGTAATGACTGTTACTGCTCTGATTCTGTCCATCTGTTCGTGGAGAGGCATGCTGCTCCTCATATCGCTCGATCACAGACTGGATTCCTCCCTGATTTGCTGCTTCCTTATCGGATCTCTGAGGCATATTGTGTCACCTTTTGTATTTTCAACACCAAACACCACTGTCCCACTGCGCGTGCCAAATTGTTTCGCGCGGGTTAGTCGCTAACAATTAAAAGAGGGATCAGACGATTGTGTAAGGGACAAACCTCTTGAGACAAAGCCCAAAAATGAGTGTTCTTTATTGGCGATGACTTTACAATCAGAAATTAAAAACAGAATGCCTCCAAGGAGGGCAAGCACACGAATTACTGAAAGAAGTGTTTAAATCTAAGATAAGAAATTTAAAATTACATGTTCTCTGTTCGAGAGTTTTTTATTCGGGGTCTTTGCTCTATGTCTTTCCTTCCTTTTATACTCCCTGGATGATCTCTTTGTGATCAACCGCCTAAAAACTGCTTGATCGTTCTATAACTGCCCACTTTCAACCGCCTAAAAACTGCTTGATCGTTCTATAACTGCCCACTTTCCTCGTAATGGCCAACTTGTCATGAAACTGCCTTTTCTAACTGCCGCCATTACTCTTTGTCGTTCAACCGTCTTCAATTGAGTTCCTTAAATCGTGGAACGTGATAGGGCATGCTTTAATAACTGCTTTGATAACTGCGCTTCTTGATAACCACAACACTTCATATTTGTTAAGACCTTGGGAGATTCGAAAGTTTGGACGAGAATAGAGTAACAGCTCTGGGCGACTGTATGGCACTCCATTCGCTCAGATTTTGGGCGACTTGCAAGTTTGGGCGATGGTGTTACCGCGTTTATGGGCCTCCCTATTTGGGCTTTCATCTTGAATTGTCTGATTGGGCTTCGTTCTTTGGGCTATCGGATTTGGGGATCCTCCAATTGAGCTTCATTCATTAGACCGTTCGATTTGAGCTGAATTTTTATGTGTCAACAGATACATATGCCCAGAAGTGAAAGTAGTAAAGCATCTAACTTGGTTCCGGACCATTTGAGAAGCAGTTCATGTATCAATTTTCCTGGCTCACCTATAGAAAGCAAAGATAATCAGAATAAGTACACGCAACTCAAGCAAAAAAACTACATCATAACATTTCTTAAAATAAAAACAGCATTTATATTTGCCCCGTTAGTTAAAAAAGAAATTTGCTGCAACCTCAGTTAATAACAGCTGTAAGTAAACACCATCTTACCAGCTCTTTCTGATTCCAATACCCCGGCAGACACAGGTGTAAATGTTTTCCCTTGCCCTTTTCCACCCCAAATTCCTGTCAAAGAACATGGCAATAATAAATTTCATTCTCTAGAAGAATCATTACTCGAAATATAGGTGAAAATGTTAACTACAATATCATTATTCCTCTACAATGACAGTCCTCATAACGATGGGATTAAAAGATATAAAAGACGATGACTTTATTATCTAACCAGATCAAATTCTCTCTAAATACATTCCACAAAAAATCCGATTTGTGTGGATTATTCCCCCAATTAAGGAAGAGATCTCGGCGGAATTGCCACATATGAAATTAAGCACAATTTTGCAAAGAAATAGCTCATTTGTTTCTTAAGCGTTAAAGGGTACATGATATTTTCAAAGTTATTGTGACGACAGGGAAATGAGCCAACTTGCTCAATTCAGCAGTAAAAAAGTTTAAAAGCACTCTAGTCAACAAGGGAATTTATCTATTTGCCTTTTTTACAGCTTCCCTTGACAAGTCTTCTGACCATATTTTCATATTCAATTTCACATCGATCTATTATGATGTACATTTACCTAGAATAAGAGGAACTTTGGCGTTAAGAAGATAACCAATGTAGTTCTTCAGAATATGGCATACTGCATTATCAACAAAACATATGTCAAAGAAGTATGTCTCACAGCGAAACGTGAATAAAGATGATAAGAAATCTAATGCTCTCATAATCAGCCAAACCATATAAAATTACCTACCTGCCAAATAATTAAAGCAAGAAATTCAGTCAAGCACAAAATTTTTAATAAGTATAACAAAGTAAAATCAGATATCCTACATTATTTTTGGGTGTCTCCTACCAAATGGAAACACGAAGCCAATGGTCTAAGGTAGACAGACTATCCATACATTTCTACTATAGGTTCAACAGAAACTTCGAAGATGAATAATCGTAATACGTGTAACTCCACGCTATAAGGAAATACATAGATCTTAGTATTAGAAGCCCCCAACAATAAGCGGTATTTTATGGATGATTTCAAAAGGCTCTATGGGGTTGTAAGGAGGCTGATGGTATTTTTACTTACTTCCACATTTAGGAGATGAAGATGCTACATGTAATGAGATTTAACTGCAGCTCATTGAGTTATGGGTATCGAAAGAAAGGAAATAGAAGGGAAATAAATATATAAACTGAGCACTTGAAAATCATGGTGAATTTGAATTTTCTTGTTGAATATGGAAATTGGTTTTTGTGGTTCCCACTTAGGCCTGCATTGTGCTTCTATCTGATATTATCTTTCAGCAGTCCTCTTAACTCCCTGTAATCCCTCAACTTTAGTCTCTGTCATCAGGAAAGATGGCATCTTGACAATTCTCTTTCTTTAGTATGACCATAACGCTATCTAACATTTCTGTTATAGCTTAGAGCATTCTCAAGTACCGTGGTTTATGATTAGTGAGTCGGATGAAGCTGCAATGCCAATTAGTGTCATCTTATGCTGCTTGGAATCAGTATAGTTCAATTGTACATTATGGACAAGTTATATGAAAATGAGGGCTTTTTGAAGCAGTAATTCTATGTCACGCTTGCATGTTGACGTGTGCATATGCACACAAATACCATATTAATATTAGGGCGTGTTTGATTGCCAATATTTTTCATGGAAAATATGTTTTTTCCACTCAAGTTCCTACTTTTGTGTTGTTTGATTGTCATTTTTTTCGTGGAAAATATTTCCTACTTTTAGTCACGTGACCATATTTTCCTTAAAATCAAGGAAAATATTTTCTTTAGGAGAAGTAACATTTTATTTTCTAGGGAATTTCCTCTCTCTTTCCCTCTCTCATTTATCCACTCTCTTTAATCTGCCCAACAATAAAAAATAGACAAGTATAATATTTTCTAGATTAAAAACTAAATCAATTAAAAACATTTAATTGACAATCTCCATGTAAATAAATTCCTTCCATGCAAATTTCATGCTTACAATCAAATGCACACTTAGTTTTATTTGTCATAGTTACATCTAATTAGAACAATTTTGTTACTATCATGAGCCTACAACATTACTCAAATTTTACGAATTCTTTTTGGGGCTCATGTTTTTCAAAAATCACTTTATGCACTTTGATTTGAGAGTCGGGTCGAATTGAGCCATCAACTTCACATAGTGGACAAGTTGAATGGTAACTTGTACCTTTTCTAGTAGGCGGTGAATCTATTTTTTCATTCTTTAGTGATGCAAAGCCATTGTTTTCTTCTACCTTATAATTTGCTTTATGAACATCTGGAAACGCGCGGTTGCTTCTCGTTTCAATTTTCCGAATTGTATATTTTGTTCTGTATCTCTTTAAGATATCTCGTAGCCTCATTAGATGTAGGAGACATGATTGGTCCCACCACATTGATTCAAATTGATAATTTGGATGACTAATTCGATGGAGGCCATAGGCTAGTCTCTGAGCCTCTAAGAAATTCTATAAGATGGCTTGGTTGATCAATGATTTGTTTTTATTTTTTTGTTTGTTTCCAAAAATCTAAGGATAAATTTTGATTCTTTATTTTTCTTTTATTATCTTTGTAGCAAGGTGTCTACATTTTTTCATAGTTTAATGAAAATGTTCGAAGACTCTATATGAATTTGTCATTTTATGAGTATCCTCCTTTTTGCATATGGCATCACCATTTCACTTGATAAAATTTATTAATTTTTAAATTTAATTTAAAAAATAATATTTTCTCCTTGACATTTTCAAAATGTTGTTGATAACCAACGAATGGCAAGTGATTTTCCTTCATGTCAAGAGCTGTTATTTATAATTTGATTATGACTGAACAATATTCAGTCCAAGAAAACCATGTACTTGTGATAATCATAATCCTCAAACGATCCTTTGCTTTGCCCCTCAAATCTTATAGGATAATTCGAAGGCAATTATATTCACACTCCCGTTTTTATTTTTTGCATCACATTTTAATTGCACTTTAGATTCTTAATCAAATCTTATATTTTGATATAACCCGTGATCAAAGACGCGACAATTAATTAATAAAAGTTTGAAGATAAAAATTTGATGGAAAAATAAAAAAATAAATAATTGTTATAATGAGCAAAGATTGAAGAGTTTAACTAAAATTAAAATATGATTATCAAATAAAAATTACGGTGACATTATAACCACTCAAATTGTAGATTTAAGTATCGGGCTTTTGCATGCGCTGAGCGATATGAATTTCAGGTGCCATCACTTGAGAGGGTTGAAACTGAAAAACCATCATTGTCAAGAAGAATAAACCAACCATATTTTATTTCTAGGGCAATTCATGTATAGAAATATTTTATCCAAATTCCTATAATAATTCAAAATTAATTTTAAACTTTTATGACATATTTGGTATTTAAAAAAAACCTTTTTTTTATTATATTAATAATAATTTATGCCATGAAATGATATTCAACGTAAAATATTCATAATAAACACCACTTATAAGTAAATAAGAATCGACACAGAATAATTGTTGTGGATGGTAAGCTTGTTTTACAATAAGCAATTTAGACTCATTTAAGCATTTTATAATAGATATTTTTTAATTAATAAAATAAAAATAATCTGTTATTTCTTTCGAAAGCAATCTCCACTACCAAAATATCTAATATTATTTTATGTTTAAAAAAATTAAAAATAAGAAAATTAAACTTAATTCTAACAACCACAAAGTTGAGATTACCGGTAAGTGATGAAAAAGTGAGATCATCTAAAACTATGTTAATATTTTTTAAAATAAATAGATACATTTGGCAACTGATAATCATTGTAGGTGGGCTCTTTCTTCATTCAGTAAAAATATTAAATTTGGAGTTTTTTTTTTCCTCAATTCTTTTAGATTTTTTGATGTTTTTTGAAAATAGCAATTTTGCGATCAAATTTAATTCTACATTTATGGATATTCTCATAAACTTATTTTTAAACTTGTTGATCATTATCACTAATTTCTCGTTTTATTTAACAGGAAAGACAAAGATGATTGGCGATATTTAGAAGAAGCTTTGCGAGTTGAAAGTATTAAAAAAAGTGACTTGTCAAGCGCCAACTATGCTAGTTGAACTTGACGAAACAATAAGGAAAGCTTTATATATATTTTTGTCCAATTTTGCTATTTATATAAATGGGGTTGACACCCCCTCATAAGAGGGGGCTCACACGTAATAAAATAATTGTGGGCCTCCTCTCTTGTGAGGAGGGTGTCATCTGATGTGTCAACTCTGAATGTACAAATAGCAAAATTATTTTTTGTCATAAAAATTCATGAAAGAGAATAGTAAAACAAGATACTCAAGGACACAACAAAACATAAGCATGTAAAAGTTGTTTGGATGTGTTACTTATTTTTTAGTTTTAAGTAGAAGAAATTACTTATTTTGGAAAAATAAATATCCTTGTGCTATCAACCCATTCTTTGAGCTCCATTGTTTGGTAAAAATAGATTTTATAATAGTGATTATTTGAAAAATGTGTATTTGAAAAGTGGGAAGACGTTTTAGATTTACATGTTGAATAAGAAATTTTTTTAGATTTATGTGTTGAATTATTTTATTAAGAAAATGTGTGGATGAAAATGAATTTTAAAAAAAATTTATTATTGAAAAATGGGGCTCTAATTCATTTTTAACTTTGATAAATAATAATATTTACTTCAATTTTACTTATAAAGTTGTTAACCGAACATGTTTATTGCTGTGAAACTTTGAGGATGTAAAGGTGTCAAAGTGATAGGATTGATCCAAACCGATTGATTTGACTGTAAAAATTTGAGAGTGTAGAGGGGTCAAAATGGTTGGATCGATCCAGACCAATATCAGGCATGTTGCTAACATGAACTAGCCCACCTAACTCCTTGACCTCTAATTTTTAAATTCTGTAGTTTTTCTAAATCCGTGGAGTTAAAATGAAGGAAAAAGTTCCATGCACAGCCCTTTTGAACAGGGCCTGTCGCATGGGGATGGACCCCACATGTGGACCTCATGTGTCTAGTCTACTCTCATGTGTGTGCACCTGTACAGTCTCTGTGTAAAGGGATCTGTGCAGGTAGCACAATTCTACAATAAAATACAAGTATAAAAAATTACAATAAAATTACAATTATATAAGGTAAATATAAGCATCTTCAAAGCACGTTTTTGCAATATTTTCTTAGTGCTGTAATGGGCCTTCAACATTTTTAAATCATTCATAATATTAAGAAAGTCAGAAAAATGTTAATTAGTTTTTGTCCTTCTCAATGCCATCTACATGCTTGGTGAAGCTTTTGCCCTTAAGAAAGCAAAAGCTACTTTTAAGCAGATTTTTCTTTTAATGTAGATTTATTTTTCACTTATTTATAAGTACACGAACATTACCCCTTTTTATTATGTTTGATGATGTGATTCTTAACCAAATGAGGCACCCCAACATTAATCGACAAATAAGTTTCATGACGGTTTAAACAACATCCTAACACACTAACACTCCATAGCATGTTGCTACTTGCCCATATAAGAGCTAGTATAGGTGAAGATAATAAAATCAAAGGTAAGATATAGTGCTTTTGTTGAATCGTTATAACTAGTCAAATACATAAGTAGCTTATTTATTTTCAACTTTGATCAATAAAAAATGTTAATTTTGAAACCTACTTTTGTTAACTTATAAGCATACTTAATTCCAAGTAAATCTTTAGCTTTCACCAAACATCAACTAAGGCTTTCAATGTGGAAGGAACTACCATTTATATTCTCATGATTTAAACTTCAGAGGTTATGATATCTCAATCAATTAGGTAAAAAAATTGTTTGTTTGGTTTTTTGGATTAGGTTAAATAATGGTTATCACTTCATAAAATATAAAATCTAAATGAATTTTATTTACAACTAAAAAAATATATGGTAGTGAAATTAGAAGCAGTATTACAATAATCGAGTTTAATACAACAAATCTATCTACCATCAAGTAGGGTTGGCAATAGTTCGGTTATGGGTCGGTTCGGTCAAAATCTTAATTGTTGTACATCAAACTTACTTGATTCATTCTTCCCCACAAGTCTTACTAGCATAGATCAACACT